ATAATAAAAAAGAATATAAGAAATATATCTATAAGGTATTAAAAATATTATAAGATACTAAGCTATTAATTAAATTAAAAAAGAATTACTTTTATATTATAAAGGTTAACTTCCTAGGATATATTATTATCTCTAGTAAAATTAAAATAAAATAAAAAAAGATTTTAATAGTAGTAAAATAAAAGGTATTTAATAATATTAAGGAAATATAAGCCTTCTTAGGTTTTATTAATTATTATTAAAGATTTATTAAAGGATTTAGTAAAATTATAATTCCTCTAATAGAACTAATAAAGAAAGATAAGCCCTTTAAATAAAATAATAAGGCTTAAAAAGCCTTTAAGTAACTTAAGGAAGTAATCCTTAGTAAACTAGTCCTAGTAATATTTAATCCTAAAAAAGAAATTAAGCTAGAAATAAATATATTAGACTTTATACTAGGAGGATAAATTAGTTAAAGAGATAGCAAAGGAAAGTTATATCTTATTACTTTCTACTTATATAAGTTATAAGGAGCAGAGCTTAATTACCTAATTTATAATAAGGAGTTTTTAATAATAATTAACTATTTTAGAGAATTTAAATATTATCTTATAAGAAGTAAGTATAAGATTAAGGTCTATATTAACTACTAGAATATTTTATACTTTATTATAACTTATAAACTTAACTAATAATAATTATATTATACTAAATTCTTATATAAATTTAACTTTATAATTATTTATAGGAAAGGATTAGAAAATAATAAAGTAGATATAATTAGCTAATAATTAAATTATAATACTAATACTATTAAAGTAAAAGAATAAGTGCTAAAAAAGAATAATAAGGGAGAATATTAATTTACCTAGAAGATAGTAATACTAGGATAAATATAAGTAGAAATAACTAAGGAAATCCTAGGAGACCTATAAGAATTTATCTAGGAATTTTATATATATTTATTATATAAATATTAAGGAGTTATTAAAACCTTAAAATAATTATTATAATAAGGTTATTAAATAATATAATAAATAATAAAAAAGGTTATTAAATAATATAATATTTATACTAGAACTAGGGTATAGTAATATAAACCTTATAAAATGCTATAACCTATTAAAGTAATAAAATAGCTATAGAGTTTAATTATAATAGACTTTATAATTAAATTATTATTATTAGAAGATCCTTTAATTAGAATCTTTTATAATAATATTATAGTTATTATAAATAAACTTATAAAATTCTTAATTTATTTATCTTATAAAGAGGTAATAAATATAGAAGTTATAGCTTATATTTCCTATAATAAGGTAGTAAGAGAATAAGGATTACTAAAAGAAATTCTATTAGATAGAGGATTAATATTTACCTCTAAATTCTAGTAGTTACTTATAGCACTTATAGGAGTTAAATACTAACTTATAATAGCTTTTAAACTGCAGGTAAATAGATAAATAAAATAAATAAATTAAATACTAAAATAATACCTTTAGTATTATATTAACTATAGATAAGATAATTAGGTTAAAAAGTTACTAAGTGCCTAATTAGCCTATAATACTACTTATAATAAAAGTATAAAACTTATATTATTTAATATAAATACTAAATTTATATCTAATATATATTATAATACTTAGGAACCTAAGAATATAAACCTAGTAGTAATTATTATAAGTAATAAGCTAAAAGAAGTATATAATAAACTTAAGATAGAATTAGAATTTATTAGAAAGAGGATATAGAGATACTATAACCCTAAAAGGTTAAAGAGACTAACCTTTAAGGAGGGGGATATAATCTACTTATCTATTAAAAATATTAAAATAGATTAACTAAGTTATAAGCTAGATTATAAGTACTTAGGATTAGTTAAGATTAAATAAAAGATAAAGGAAGATTAATATAAATTAGATTTACCCCTAAGTATTAGATATTACCTAATTTATTATATCTTAATATTAGAATTAGCTGCTAATATAATATATATTAAAACTGGTAATAAATTATAATAAATTATAGGATTAGAAGTTTATAAGGTAGAGGTAATTAAGAAAATAGAAAAGATTAATAAATAAAAGATATACCTAATTAAATAAAAAAACTACCTAGAAAGTAAAAATATATAGGAACTAATAAAATACCTTATTAATGCCTAGTAACTCCTAAAGAACTTTTATTAGCCTTAAATAAAGGGGAAGTATTAAGAAAATTATTACCTAAACCTAAAGCAGATTAATTTATATTATTAGGGATATAATTTACCTAGAGGTTATAGAGTAGTATATCCTTATATGTATTTAAACTAGATAAGATTATATCTTATTAATCTACTTCTTAAAGGCTATAATAAGTAGCCTTAGAATGCTTTTCCTTTATATAATTATAAATTTTATAAATCCTTAATAAATAACTAGCAGCTAGAGCTAAATAGGATTATAGTGCTACTATTTCCTTATAGAGTTAAAGAAGATTCTTATTTACTTTATCTTTATTATTCTTTAATTTCTTTTTTTATTTTATTAAATTTATAATTATTATAATTAGTAAAGAAAACTAATAAAAATAATATATAATAACCTATAGGAAGATATAATATAAGTACTATTATAAGACTTTTTGGCCTAAATATACTTATTATAGTAAGTAGAATTAGCAGATATTAAATACTTCTTGCCTGCCTAAAAATAATAAGTATAAGGTATATTAGCCTCTTTATTAGTAAATTTAATAAAAAGTATAAGTATTTAGATTTTATAATCCTTATAAGATAACTACTTAGATATATAGTTAGATATTATAGGATATAATAATAAAAGGATTAAGTTAAATCTTATTAAAAGAAGATTAATATTAGTTAGGATAATAGGCCTTAGGGATAAGATTACCAGAGAGGAGAGATTATATTATAATCTTAGCAGTTATATTATATATATCCTATAAAAAACTCTACCTTAATAACTAATTAGATAAGGACTAATAAGTATAAGAATAATAGCATTCTAGGATTATATTATTCTAGGATTAACGGCGACCTTATATTATATTACTTTTATATAACTACCTTTAGTATATAGAATATATTTATTAGTACTTTTATAGAACTTAGCTTACTAGCTATTAATAAAGTATCTTTATATTAATAAGCCTAATATATATTACTTAATTATTAAGAGATGTAATACTTTATATTACTTAGTATTATGCCTTATATTATCTATAAATATAAACCTAGTATGGATTAGTTTACCTGTTTAGAAACCTAACCGTTATATAAAGCTTTATTAGGTTAATATTATTATAATTAGCTGCCTTAATTATAGGCTAAACTTAGCTATATATAAGCTAGCTAAAAAGCCTTACTTTTTAACTAGCCTTAAGCTTCTTCTTATAACCTATTACTTTTTTATTAACCCTTATAAATATTATATTTAACTTTTAATTATAATTACTAATAATATTATAATTATATTATAATAATACTTATTAAAGAAAGCTTATAAATACCTAATCCTAATAAGCCTTATTTAATAAGAAATTATAATATAATTAATATAATTAAAAAAGCTCTTATATAAAATAAGAAAAATAAAAATAATATCTTTTATATAAAAATTATAAAATTAAAAATACTTAAGATTATAAAAATAATAGTAAATATATTAGGCTAATAATTATTAATTATAAAATCCTTTTATATATATAATCTAATTATAAATTAATTAAAAAAGGCTTTTTTAATTTTAAAATAAAAAAATTAATAAGCTAAAAGAAAAATTACTTATAAAGGTAAATTTAAATTAAAAAAAAGAAGTTTATTAAGGCCTTTTATTTAAGTAGTTTATATAATAAGTAGCTTAAGGCTAGCTAATAATAGGCTAAGGAGATACTAAAGAAGACTAAGCCCTTATAATATAATATTTATTATCTAAGAATAGTTAATAAAGGTAGGGATAAAGAAAAAGGATAAATATATAAATAAAAAAAAAGTAATTATAGGGTTTTATAAGAGGAAAATATATTAGGTTTTATATAAGTTTAATTACCTAAAGTTAAAGATTATTAGTATTACGACCCTAGCGGTTACGTCACGTGTACCCCACAAAAACTCATGCAAGGCATCAGCCCCTCAATGGTTACGGACCAATCAGGGCTAGATCACCTTATAACAGGATCACGACGCTCTAGGAACTACCGTGCTCCAGGATCACCGTGATCCAACTTCCCTAGTGATCCTCCCGGACCACTTCTAGTATATAGACCATATTCATTAGCACTTTCATAGATCTTAGCTCACCAGCTATCAATAAAACATCTTTACATTAATCAAGCCTAACACGCATTGAATCTACCATTAAGAGACGTGACACTTCGATAAGCTCAGTTACACGCCCTACGCAATCTGCCAACAATAAACCCAGCACGGCTTAGTTTAACATAGTTGGAAACCAACCATCACAATTAGTATTATTATATTAAGTTTTATATAAGTTTAATTACCTAAAGTTAAAGACCTAAAGTTATACTATTAGTATTAATATTAGCAGTATAAAGAGAGTTAAATAAGTTATGGGACATAGGACGTAATAGACTTAATAGATTAGCTTAATATTAATGCATTATTAATATAAACAGGGGAGATAAATAGTTATATTATAATAGTAAACTTAGAGGGTTGGTAAATAACACCAGGGATTTGGCTAATAATATGCATATAGTTAAGGGTAATTCTAATAAATATTCCTTTCGAGTTTATAATCTCTAGCTAGGTGGCTTTTCTTCTCGTGGTAATTTGGGATTTATTGTCTTTAACTATTAGCTCTGCTACTCTACATATAACATGCTCTTTATATATGTTTTAAAAGTAAGTATATAGTATACTATTCTTTTATAATATTATCTTAAATAGTTTTACTATTCTTACCGTAGATATTGCCCCATTTTCCCATCCTTGATGTGACAGTGCGCGCCACATATTGTCTGGGCCATAAACCGACGGACTAAGATGGCTCATCTCTGCCCAAATAAAAGTCTTAAGACAACAAGGCTGTCAGCCAGATTTGAGTCTCAGGCGGTCAGATTTGGCAAACTCCAGCGGCCAGCTCATATATATATTATAGTTAGAGGGCACATTTTCTGCAACTTTTAATGCCCATGCTGAAATAATAGCCCTCCGAAAGGGAAAAGATCCCATAATTGACGCCATCGCGACAGTCGCGACAATATACTCGATGATAAAAAAGTGGACTATGATAATTTGCGCAGCATAATTTCGTCGGTTGGTGAAGTGCTTGAACTCGTTCTGTTCCAGCTCGCCAAACATCGCGTACGCCAGGGCGGCTTCCGTAAATGCTGTTAAAGCATATTAGCAAAAGCAGTCCCGGAAGGGAGCGGAGCATAGTAGTTATACCTTGTACGGGCGAGCTTTTTGCGATTTCCAAAATTCTTTCTAGAATACCGAGGTATTTGACTTCTATAACGCTCTGACAAATCGGCCTCAGACGCCTGACTGCGACCAACCCTTCACCTAGGATATCGGCTATTTCTCCAACAACATCTACAGGGTTAAGGGATAAGACGTGCTTATTATGACTCTCAGCGGTAAAGCCTTCGAACAGAGAATTCTCTAAGCGGGGAAGAATCGCATCGGAAACTGCCCTGCAGCCCCGGATCATGATAATGAACTCCACCATGCCTTCAAACATATAAGAGGACTGGAAAATGAGAGTCATAACTGTGGCGATTCGGGCGTCTGCTTCAACCTTAGATTTGCATGGTTTGCTCAAGGCTTGATTTAGTAGTGTGATGGCGTGAACTCGATGGCTTAGTGCTTGGGCAGTGTAGTCTGTGTCGCCACTTAAAGACAGATGCGATGCTGCCAACCCGAGCATAGCATGTACTAGGAAATCAAACTGGGTGTTTCGTCAGGATATTGATATCTAAACATAGGAGAGAACCTACATTATGAGACATAGCAGCAACTTCCTTCCAAACCGGCTCTCCGTTCAGAGGCATTGGGGGATAGGCATGGAAGATGAAGTGCTGATATAGCCGCAGATCATCCATCGTGAATTGGGTAGGTGTCGATTGAAGTGGCCTGGAGGGCGCATCCATCATAATACGTCGCGTTGAGTACTCACACTTCATGCCAAGGCGCCTGCAATTCTCACACTCTGGAAGCGTCTCTGGGCATTTCACTCTGCGCCTCTTGCAGTTGATGCAACCATTTCTCGATTTTGTGTGTCCCTTTCGTGGGCGGGCTCTGCCGCGGACAGTCCCCACGATCATGGTAGTATCTGGCGACGAATCTGAGGAGTTTTTCGATTGCATCGTGCCTGATGTCGTTAACGATAGAACCGTTTGCATTGTGCGTTGCGTAACTTTGGAAGGCATGCTTGTTCCCACCTGACTACATGCTTACCTGGACTATCTGGTACAAGCCTCCCACTTACAGGTAAGATCGGAGTGATTCTTCTCCGCTCCAAAGGTGTTAAGAGTCAGATTCAAAAGAAAACACGCAGCAAAGCGTACGTCATTACAAAGAACAGTCATCCATGGATCATCTCAGGGACCCACCACTCTGAGTACAATGGCCCACCTTCTCATAATTAGCAGCAGGGAATACCTTCATCATCATCAGGCTTGAGGATGCTAAGTGTGGCTGATGCCCGGACGAGTGGCTGCACGATGTGGCGTAGGGTGCGTACCAAGGATTGCATGAACCTTGTCACGTGGGTTTGCTGAGATGGTGGCTCTACTGTCTAACCAACCGCCACATTCCGGGGATAAGGAAATTATGTTGACTAGCGTGAACACCTCTATAATGATGTCTTTAATGATTTCTACAAAGCAAGTGACAAAACGCCCTTTGAATATTCCACCCATAAGCGCGCATAGGTGGACTGACCGTTGCCCTAGACATGTTGGTTGGTGATGTTTGCAATTCATGTCTAGTTGGTATTGAGATCATCGGGCTTATCGATAAGCGATTATTTGCCAAGCAATATTTCTTATTCAGCCACCACTTAACCAATCACGCCTTCATTGCATTGACCGTTTTATATAAATAACTACCCTGTAAACAAACGCAATTAGATCTGAATCGCCAATGTGAATTCACAAGGCTGCAAGAGCAACCATGAAAGCCGTCGTGGTTTATGGCGCATTTGAATTTTTCTTTCTTGCAACTAGTACTAACCTTTTTTCCGCGCTTTAGCTTCTGATGCCAATAATTCCGGCGCCGAAACATGACGAGCATGTGGAGGGGCGAGACCTTCTCTGTTGACCCATACTTTTAGATTGTTACGTTCTAAATCAGTGACTTGATGAGAAAATTCAGATAGCTTAGACTTAAACGGTCCTTATACCTTTAGCTAACGACTTAGTACTAGTTCCTTAGGGATCTTATATGCTATATTCTGGAGACATATGGAGAGGGAATAACCCGTTGTTTCATAGCGAGAATGGCCCTCCTTTGCTGACAGAGTTTAACTTGATAATTTAGTGGTTAAGGGAACAGTCTGATGCAAGGAGGAAGTTAATGTTTGCTGGCAATGGCTATTCCAGTGTAACTACCGCCACATATATAACCAAGCCAGCTCTCTGTTTTAATAACCAGCTATAAATAATGCCCTTTTAAAAATAAACTATAGACATTCCTAGATATTTATCATAACTATGAGAGTTCCATTAGTTGGCGCTTCCAGTGAACTATATATGCCGAGGCATATAACCCAAACTATGAGGTCGCATATGCTGTTTTAGGTCGTGTTAATTAGTATTTCAAAAGTTCCTATTGTAAATTGCTAAAAAGACTAGATTTCTATTGCAATAAGGATAGCTAGCTATATGTCGACAACTAATAGAGACTTTCAGGTTTGCGATTTTATCTATCCTAGGAAGAACCTTGGAAGAATACTACCGGAATACGATGTATTGACGAGATTGATGGTCTTGTTGTCTTCCATTTATGAGAACTCAACCCTTTAGGTAGGCCTGAACCTAGCAGCATCTACATTTAGTCTAATAAGAGAAACTTTAAGCTGTAGTATTTAAGACTTTCGCGAATTGTTCAAGAGACACTAGGTGGCAAATATGCAAGCTTGAGGGCTTATATTTTTGTTTTATATCTTAGTCTCTTTTCCATAGATATAAAAAAAATTATATCTCGCTAATCTTTAAGTTTTTAAAGTTGTATTTTTGCTCAAGCCCGGCCGTCTCGCATGAGACTCATGACCCTGCACAGCAGTTCATTAGGAAGAAAAGAAAAGAGATAAGGGGTTTGCAACAGGTTAAGCAGAATATAGGTGGCATTACTCGGATTATATCCTCGCAATTAAATAGCGCAGACCCAACAGCCCAAGAGCCCGGCCCAATTTCTTCCCCGCAACCAGACAGTTTTACAAGCAACAGTAAGCGGGATGATATTGCGCCGAGTGATGTAAAATAAACACGGTTCATTGCCCAACAAATTTTTTTAATAAGGTGCATCTTAACTTACAAAGCACCAAAGCCCAAAGCCAAAATCCAAAGACCTAGCTACATATCAAAATCAAAAGATGCCGTTCCCGTACAAGACCGTCCTCATAACCGGCGCCACGGGGGGAATTGGCCGAGCCTTGGCCGAACGCATGATTGCAGACGATATCTTCGTCATTGCTGTGGGACGTCGCAGCGACCGGCTCGATGATCTTGTTTCGAAGCATGGGTCTGATAAAGTCGTTGCCGAGCCGTTTGACGTGTCTGACCTGGAGGCTCTCCCGGCCTGGGTTGAAAAGTAAGCCTGCCGTCGACCTTATTGGGGCAATGCATTCTTATATCGCTTGCAGAATCATAACAGCATACCCTAGCCTTTCCTGCATAGTCCTCAATGCTGGATTCCAGCGAACCGTGGACTTTACGCGTCCTGAAACCATCTCCCGCTCTTTGCTCACATCGGAGGTGCACACCAACTATCTCTCTTCCTTACATACCATCTCCCTCTTCCTTCCGCACTTCATTTCCCTTGGCAAGGCTTCGCCCAACCCGACACCTGCCTCGATCGTGCTTGTATCGTCTGGTCTCGCCATCGTCCCTGTCGCCCGTTGCGCCAACTACTGCGCGACGAAATCAGCCCTGCGCTCCTTGGCTTGGACATTGCGCTCCCAACTTTCTGCACCATCCAGCCCTAAAACGCAGCATATCCGTGTGATTGAAATAATTCCTCCTGCTGTCCAAACCGAATTGCACGCCCTACAATCTGACCTTGTAAAGGCGGGGCAGAAGGCTATTGGTCTTCCCTTAGATGAGTTCGCTGATGAGACTTGGAGTCACCTAACAGCCAAACAAGGCACCCTGCATGACGAGATCACGGTTGATATGATGCGGGAGCGATGGGAAGGCATTGAAAGGCCAAGGAGAGAGGCATTTCACGAATTTGAGGCCATGTTTCGCAGAATGGTCTCGGATGGCGAAGGAAGTGTTAAACCGGCGGGATCATAAAATCGAGTCTGATTATATAATTCCGCAAGTGGTTTAGCCTAAATAAGCCTTAGTTAAGGAAGATACTAATTATATAACTAGAAGGAGTTTTAAAATAAGGGTAATAAGATATTAGAAAATAAGATATTTTAATTAAGTAGAATTATATTTAATAATTAGTTTTATATATATTAATTAACTTAAATTAAATACTAAATATAATATAAATCTTATTAATACTAGAGAAATATATAATATAATAGATTAAGATTAATTATATTTAATTTCTTATTACTTCTTCTTACTTATTATCTAATTATTCTTCTTAGAAGATGTTAACTTTATTAATAACCCCTAAGTATTATAGCTAATTAGGACCTAGTAGATATACAGGGCAGCTATTTAGCTAATTGCCGAATTTCGCAGGCAAGATCCATCCATTTTTAGCTACCTGTTAGCTCGAGCCAACAGGTAGTGTAAAATTACTCCTACCTAGATCTTACATAAGGCATATTACGACGCAATGCATTGGACAGATCGCATAATCCGCCTCTGCTTAAGAATCCCGCCTAACCAACATCCTACTATTTACACTGCCCTACTAAAGAATTATTATTAGAAACGCATTGTATTTCCTTTTTTGACTAATTATTATATAGTATTTCGCCCCATATTTCCCTCGATGGAAACGCACTATGTTTCTCATACCGCACTAATGAAATCAGAAAACCTAAAACATGAAATGCATCGCGTTTTCGTCAGCTAACCCTTGTTGAGTTTAATGCCTGGACTACTCCAGACCTCAACAACATGTATTACCATCATCAACTAAAGCTCACATATCTTCCCATTCTACTATGCTTATAGCCCAATATCCTCCTCGTTAGTCTCTCCTCTCACGATAAATTCCCTGTCAGCTCCATTTCATCTGCACGCCTAGAGGAATGCTTCGGTTTATATCTCAACTGCGCGTCAGGAGCGTAGACGGCATGGTATCCTGTGCAAGTCTCGACTAATCCCACCCTATCCACACAGCCCCTTCCAGTCGGCCATTCGTCCGTTGCATCGCCAGGCCAGAATAGACTCGGGTCTCCACGCTCGAGTGCTATTCGGTGCAAATGTGGTGCCGTGCGTAGTCTCCATCGAATTGTGAATACACACAGCCGCTTCCAAAAGAAATAACGCAACAATGGGCCTGTGAAGGACACAAGCAGGAGTATGCCGCCAATGAAAACAACAACGAAGATCACCCATGCGGATGTTGTAATCTTCCCCTGCTCTTCCATCAGCGTCAGCCGGCACGTGGCTAACTGCTCCTCGCTCGCGTCCACAGTCCACATGGGGAGACCGGGTGAGACATACTTGCGCCAGCCAGATACAGCTCGGTTGGCGGCAGTGAGGAGCAGCATACGACTCATGAGGGCTAGACGGACAAGCTCAGCGTGTCCGCTTATCAGTTGTGGAACCAGCTGCGTCGATCCAAGTGATAGAGTGCGACTGGCATATACTGACTCGCTGTTGCCAGTGAGTATATGAAACAATGGGATCCATGTATTAATCCACATCAGTTCGAGGAAGCCCAGACTTTCCCGGTTACTAGAATTCTCATGCTTGTAAACATATTCGCCGATCGCATCGTTGCCTCTCAGAGAAACGCAATCTCCGTCTTGGCCAGGGCAGTAGGCATAGCTTGTGTTGCATATAACTGGTATGATTCCGTGAGTGTAGATATACGTCTCGTTGCCATTAATAGGTCCGCTAGTGGTCCCAAAGATTGGATCATCGCTTGGACTTGGACTCAAAATACTGCCAATATGGTAAAATAGAATTGTTAGATCGCCGTCGTGGGCCAGTGTACTATTGGGTTCCCAGGCGGACTGTCGTGACTCCCTAGTCGTGTTAAAGTAGGTGAATAAGTTGTAGCCGTATCCAAACCTCTCCATAGGGGTAAACTCCTCAGTCACATATGGAGTTCCGCTAGTACCACTACTTGCTGTGCCATAGAGCAGTCCATATGTATCCGCGCCGTCTTCCCTTTTCTGAAGGAGTTTGCTGCGACCTTGCAACTTATAGCAGGTGTTCAACACTCCGAATTCGGCATCTTCGGATGCTGTTTTGCTGGCAATACCCAAATCGGATTGCTTTACCCAGAAGTTGATATTAACTTGCAATGAGTTATTCGACTCGCAGGCTGGCGCCCACATTGGACAGCTCGAAGAGATCGCGACACGGTCTTTAGCATGGGGGAGACCGATAGACTTGGCATTCGTGGCGCTATAATTATAACCATACGCATCGACGGACCGCATCATGTCTAGAGAGAGTAGCTTGTCGTAATGGGCTGAAGCCATCCAAGTACTAGAATTGAGCATTGGACTACAGTACTTAGTTGAGCCGGGGACTCCCTGGACCACAGGAATTCCCCTGGCCAGAGCCAGAGGCAGAAGAAAGGGAAACACAGCCAATACTATAGCGCCGAGGAACCAAAGCAAAGCGATACTCCCAGCTTGGCGGTGCCTTTTGCGCCAACAGCTGAACAGGCTTCGTTGGGCCGGGGTATTAACTAGCGCGCCAAGGGGGTTCTTCGTGTTTGCCATGGCCACTCTGAACTGGTCGACATCCCACTCTCGATGATCCTCAGAAAGCAGCGAGAAGAGGGTCATGGTATATGGCAAAAAGAGTCGCACCGCAACTGCTTGGTACAAGAGGGCTATTAAAGCAACGGTAATTGCCCAGGTGCTGCTGCTGACGACGACCGGCCAGCCATACCGAGCTATGGTGTTCCATCGTCTCATTTGATCACTGGGGTAAATGCCGCTGACTGTGTTGTTCATGCTTGCTCGGGCAGGTCTTCGATGCTTGAGATTGTTGAATTTTGGATGGAAGTAGTCTGAGGGAAGATAAATTCTCAGGTGAAAGTTCGGTAGATACATAGGTCCTCCGTTTCTATGTTTTTATCCCATCCATGAGGTGACATCCCTTCCGGTGGAGTCAGATATCATGTGTTGCCAAAATTCAGCTCCTTGACAAAACCTCCAGTTAGGTCCCCCGAAAGACCGTTGTGGCGACTGCCTCCAGGCATCCTCCCTCACAATTACCCAGTCATAATATTTGGGTGACAGCCCAGTGCAAGTTTGCTAGTAAATATTTCCTTATTTTTTCGGAAGTGTATTCACCATGCGAGGCGGTGCATGAACCTACATAGTTATGGTTTGAACCGTTGTCCCTATCCTATCCTATCCTACTGTATCAATTACCACTGGTAATGACATCCCTTACCAGTTTTGTGGCCCGTGCACTTCTCTTTCTGCAGTCAAACTATGGATTGGAAGCTCATTGGCTATGTTGGCGGGTGAAAATTATTCGTAATAACTGTTTTTCCGACAAACCCAACAGCAAGCCAGTAGTAAACCTATGAGCTAGCCAAGTTGGGCCTACGGTCGCAAATATGGGACCATCAACATCAACTTCAACATCATCAAAGAAACCATCATTCATCAGATACATAAACTCGCAGTTCGCGCCTAACAAGATCCATAGCATTTGATATATCCCAAAGCCAAGTCGTCTTCTGGCTCGATACCCTACCATTCGATACCACTGCGTTTCCCTCTCCAGACTCCTGCACACGCTATCTCAAGCGCCGACGATCATCCAAGCACAGCAAATCACGCAAACGACAGCGTCCAATTTCTCCTCCAAGATCGGGCGTAAGATAATTATCTCCGTCGCCTAAGACCGGCGCCATATTCCCCTCAACACTGAAGAAGCCGACTTAAGGATTCTAGTTAGGAATGGGGCCAGTTCCAGGTTTTAGACCAATCAGAACTCTAAAGATCCTACCCTCTCTCTCCGACTTGGAACAGGGCCTATTCCCAGCGCGATAGTCCGTGCCATCCTAGTAGAGTTTAATAGGTATTTTAAATTATAAGTTACTATTAAAGTAATTATTAATATAATTCTGCTTAATTAATTTATCTTACTTTCTAATATCTTATTACCTCTTTTTTAAAACTTCTTTTAATTATATAATTAATATTTTCTTTAATTAAGGCTTATTTAAGCTAAATTACTTATAAAATTATATAATTAGATTTAATTTTATAATCTTATTAATTTAATATATCTTTTTAAAATAAAAACCTTTTAATATTTTAATTACTTAAAGTCTTATTTTAAAAAACCTTTTTTAATATCTTAAAAGTTATTTAAAATTAATTTTATTATATTTAATTATTATATATTTTATTATTATATATTAATGATAAATAAATTATAAGAATAATAAATAAGTCTTATAATTAAATTAAATAATAAGCTTTTTAATCTTAAAATATAAAAGCCTTTTTTTAATATTAAATTTAATTTTTTTTTTTATATATTAATATTATCCCCTGTTTATATTAATAATATATTAATATTTAGTTAATTTATTAAATTTATTATATATTATATCTTATAACCTATTTAACCCTCTTTATACTACTAATACTAATAGTTTTTAACTTTAAGTAATTAAATTTATAAAAAACTTAATACTTTTTCTTTTTATATTATACCCCTAGTAGTTATATTATATATACCTTATAAAAACTTACATAAGGCATTAACCCCTTAATAGCCATAGACTAATTAGAGCTAAATTACCTTATAGATAGAATTATAATACTTTAGGAACTATTATAATCTAGGATTATTATAATTTAACTGCCTTAGTAATCCTCTTAGATTACTTTTAATATATAAATTACCCTTATTAATATTTCTATAGATTTAGCTTACTAGCTATTAATAAGACTTCTTTATCTTAATAAGCCTAATAAGTATTACTTAATTATTAAAAGATATAATAACTAATTTACTTAGTTTAATATCTTATATAATTTATAAATATAAACTTAATATAAATTAATTTCCTTATTTAAAATTATATTTATTATATATTAATAGCCCTTATTTAAAATATATTATATTAAATAACTAAGTAATATTATATTATTAAGATAATATAGTTAATAAGTAAGTAACCTAGATAAGTAAGTAACTTAAAAATCCCTTATCTTATAATACTTTTATTTAATTAGATACTTCTTAAGAATTAAATATATCTTAATTATTAAATAAAGCTAAAATTCTTTTTGCCCTTTAGGCCCTTTAAAATAACCTAAAATTAAATACCTAAAATATAGTAATTATACATAAAGTCTACTATTATACTATATAATACTACTAAAATAGTATTTAATTATAATATAATTCTATTTTAAACTTATAGAAATTATTTAATTTAAAAGAATAAATAATAATCTAATTTATCCTTAACTTAGATTTATAAGGATTTTACTTATAATTATATTTTATTAAAAAAATAACTAATTCTCTACTTATAAATTATAATATATTACTTATTAATAAGTACTAGGCTTATAATGTTATAAAGTAATAATTAAAACTAAAATATATTTATTTTAGAGATATAATTATTAAAGAGCTAAATATAAAGATTTTATTATTATTTATAACTAGTTTAAATTTATATAAAATATAATTATAAAGTATAATATTTAATTAGATAATATTTAGAACTTTAATAAGATTAGCTTTATAATAGGCCTTATTATAACTAGTATAATTATTATAGGATTAAAAAGATAAAAAAAGCTAAAATTAATATAACCTAGAAACCAGGAATAAATTATTATAATTTAGGTAATTAATATAAAAGGTTAACCCTAGTTTAAACTATTACCTTTTTATTAACTTTATTTTATTTATTCTTATATATAAGGTTAATTAGTTATATACCCTATTATATATATTTAATTAATAAAGTTATAACTTTAAGTTAATTTAACTTTTACTAATTAACTTATATAAATAGAGTTAACTTAATTACTTTAACTTTTTATAAAACCCTGCCTTTACTTTATATTTATCTTTATTAATTTAAAAGCAGCTCCCCCTTAATAGTAATAGCCCTTTTATATTATATTAACTCTACTTCCTATCTTATCTAGGTTCCTAATAAGTAGACTAGTTAAGTATTAGTTACGTAATAATAATAGTTTAGTTATAAATTATCCCCTTTTCCTAAAATTGCCTTATAAAGAAGTCTTCTCTTCCCTAAGCTTTAGTTAATATAATACTATTAGACCTACTTAGCTTTCCTATTATAAAGTTATTATAATAATTCTAAAGCTTTTACCCTAAGCTATCTAAGAATAATAATTATAACTAAAAACTAAGCTAGTATTAGGCCTAATTTGCCTATTATTACTATAAGACTAATTAAATTAATCCCTAAGGATAAATCTACTAAGATTACTCCTTTATAAGAGGGAACTATAGCTAACCTAAGAGATATAACTTAAATAATACTAGAATCCCTAATAAACTAACTATAAGAGACCCCTATTCTTATAAGCTATTTAATTAATACCTAGTTAATAAGATATAAAGATTACCTCTAAGAGTATAACCCTTTTAAAGGAATACCTACTTTACTAATATTAAAATAATAATCCTTAGCCCTTAGAGTTATATTTAAATTAGAATTAATTTAGGCCTAAAATAAATAACTTAAGAAATAAATAATTATAATTAGGGAATAGAAATAACTTAAGTATAAGCTAGATAAACTTCTTATAGGGATATTTTATTTATAGCCTAATATTATAAAAAAGACCTCTCTAAGGAGTTATTAAAGATATTATAAGTCCTCCTTTAATAAAAATATTAAAATTAAAGCTAAAGATATTATAAGACTTATATTCTTAATTATTATATAAAAAAAGGATAAGTAAATTAATAATCTAAAAAAAGCTTTTAAAAAAGCCTTAAAAAGATAAAAAAGGGATATAATATATATCTTATTTACTTTAAATAGTATATTATAAGAGAAATAAACTAAATAAAGGTAATACTATTAAGAATAAATACCTACTTATATTAGGGAAATTAAGGATAATTAAATAACCTTTAATAAATAGATCTTATCCTTAATTAAGGACTTAGGGAATTATAAATTATATTAGGCTAAACTCCTAGAATATATTAAATAATACTTTAGATAATCCCCCTAGGAATTTTATAACTACCTAGACTTTATAAAGAGGTATTTACCCTAGGATATTACCTTAATATAAAGGGCTAACTAATATTAGGCTATATTAACCTAAGAACTAAGAAATATTATAATCTTAAATAAGACTAAGATCCCCTTAATATAAAAATGATATATTATAATAGCTACTTATATATAAGATATATTTAATAAATAAAAGAAATAGCCTAATATCTTAACTAGAAATAATAACTAGAAATATATTAGACCCTAATACTAGGCCTCTTAGCCTATAATATAAACCTAAAATAATTACTACTTAGGTTAAAAACCCTATAATAAGGGCTAGAGGGCTAAATTAAATCCTAAGATAAGGGATAATACCTATAAAAAGTATAAAAAACCTAAATACTAGGCCTAAGACTATGTTAAGATAAGTAAGATTAGTAATATTAAAAAGCTAAAAGACTAAATTTAGTTAAAATCCTAAGCTTATATTAGCCTATAAAATAACTACTTAAAATAAGCCTAAAACTAACTAAAAGCCTAATTAAAAATAATACTAAGGAATTTAAATACTTAATAAGGTAGTTAAAAACCTAATTAATATCTACCTTATTTACTAGGATTACTATTTATAATTATAACTTAATTTAAATATAGGTATTACTTAATATTATTATAAAAATAAATATTATTAGTAAGAGGTTTGCCTAAATATAAGAATTTAAATAGCTAGGTAATATAAATATATTACTTTAAAATATAAAT